AAAAAACTAGAAATAAAAATATTTTAATTCCATAATTATATCAAATATAAATTAATTTCATATAAATATAATTTAAAATAACATTTACCATTGATTCACGATCTTTCTTCTTTAATATTTCCGCGATAAAGCAAACATTCTCGAATGCCTTGATAACATACGGTGAACGATAAAGTTTTTGTATTTTTTCATTAATTTGCATATTTGCATTAGTGCATGTATCACAATTTACTTTTCCTTCATGACGATTAATAATGACATTTTCACCTAAAATTGAGCAAAAATTTTTATGCTAATTTTGATTTTTATTTTTTCTTATTGATTTATGATCATTAATTAAATTTAATGAAATTAAAATTCCGTAAAATGTATCCACATTTCGAATAAAATTATTACTTATTTCACTAATTTAAATAACCACTGGTCAATTAATTAATGTATTAGACAAATCATTTAATAAATCATTGGCCAATAATTAATTAGTGATAATTAAAATATATATATATGCATTTTCTTTTTCGTTAAAGTTATAAAAAAAAACACACAAATATTCGATTAATGCTTGTAAAAATTATTTTAACAAGTTGTAAATTCCCTGAAACTTTTTTCTTTGTAAATAATAAAATTTTGATTGAAATTTTAGCAAAAGGAAAAAAATTTTTTTTTTCTTTTTAAAATTTACATAATACTCCTCGTCGATGACCAGCTTTACGTAATGCTTCATCAGTTTCAATCATTACTGGTCGTCGCATAAATAATAATTTGGGTAATATCCTTAGGAATAGCCATTTGATCCAATCAGGCATTTGATGTGTTGTCGGCCTTCGAAAATGTAAATTCAATGCTGTCAATGATAGAAAAAAAAACATTAGTAAATTTTCGTGTTCATTTTTTTCATTCCTTTTTATATTAATTAATTAATTAATTAATTGTCTAATTAAATATATACATAAAAAACAAATAAGCAAATATGCAGGTAAATAAATAAACAAGCAAGTATACAAGCGAATGAACAAGTAAATAAGTAAACAAATAAATAAATAAATAAATAAATAGATGAATACACAAATGAATGAATGAATGAATGAATAAATAAATAAATGAAATGAATGAATAAATAAATAAATGAATGAATGAATAAAAATGAGTAAATAAGTAAATAAATAAAAATAAATAAGTAAATGGATGAATAAATAAATAAACAAATAAATAAACAAATAAATAAATAAATAAATAAATAGATAAAGAAGTACATATTATTGATTCTTTCTGCTTATGAAACGATTAAAAAAATTCAAAATTTTAACGTTTATTTACAATGTTTGAAAAAGCAGAAATTTTTGAAAAGGAAATTAGAATTTTTGATTTAAAAAAAAAAAAGAAAAAGATGAAACTTACAAATGACAGTAACAACAACACTGATTGAAACCATAATCATTGTAAATAA